CCTCCTCCTCTCCTCCCTCCCTCCCTCCCTCCTCCTCCTCCTCTCTCCTCCTCCTCTCCTCCTCCTCCCTCCTCCCTCCTCCTCCCTCCTGGCCCGTTCTCCGACGCGGATCCAGCCGTGGTGGCGAGAGTTCCCGCCGGGAGCCGCGCAGAGGTCGAGCAGCTCTCGGGAGGGCCGCCGTCGTCTCGACCTGGTCCGCCCGTGGGAGCGCCCCGCACGACGTGGCCGTGTACTGGTGGCCTCCTCCTCCTCCTCCTCCTCCTCCTCCGCCTCCTCCTCCTCCTCCTCCTCCTCCTCCTCCTCCTCCTCCTTCTCCTCCTCCTGCTCCCGCGTGCTGGCGCGCGTGGCAGGCCAGCCACACTTGGGCGAGCTGAGGTCCCTATCCCTCTGGGGGGCCCGTCGATTCCGACACCCCCCTCGAGGCATCGCCGACGCGGTGGCTTTTCCCCCAGGGGAGGGGGGACCACACAGCTCCCCCAGTCGTGGCTGGTCGGCGCGGGCGCGGGCGCGTGCGGGGTCGGCGCGGGCGCGTGCGGGCGCGAGCGCGCGCACGCTTTTCCGCATGGGCCTGGGCGCGCGCGGGCGGGCGCGCGCGGGCGCAGAGTGCCCCGCACCGCGCCGCGGACGGAGCGGGCGAGCAGGCCGGCCTGCAGCCGCCGCGGGCTCCGCGGGAGGCGCTGAGGACCGCCCGCCAGATGGGGCCCCGCCGCGCATGTGCGCGCCGCCCTCCGCGGGCGGCTCCGCCATGCCGCTGGGCAGTCGCGATTCCCCAGGCCTCCGACGGCGTGGTGTTCGTCCGGTGCGTGGCTTCGCTCCTCCTTCCTCTCCTCCTCCTCCTCCTCCTCCTCCTCCTCCTCCTCCTCCTCCTCCTCCTCCTCCTCCTCCTCCTCCTCCTCCTCCTCCTCCTCCTCCTTTCCTGCAGGCCCCTGGGCCCAGGGAGAGGGGCCCTGAGAGGCCGAAGACAGCCTCGCCACTCGCCCGCGCGGGGGCGGCACGCGCCCCCGCTTCGCTCGTCGTCGTCGTCGTCGTCGTCGTCGTCGTCGTCGTCGTCGCCCTCGGCGGCGGCGTCGGCGTCGGCGTCGGCGTCGTGATCGTCGCGGTCGCGGCCGTGGTCGTTGTTGGCGGCGTCGTCGTCCACGTCGTCGCCCTCGTCGGCGGCGACGTCGGCGTCCTCGTCGGCTGCACGTATGCCTTGAGGCCCTGGCGTCGCAGTTTTCTGCCACGGACGATCCGATCCGATCCGGTCGAGGGTTCTCGCGATGGCGTGCTAGTTTGTGCGCAGGGTCGGATCTCAGGGTTCGGTGCGGGCCCAGGGGGGTGCCCTCAGCATTGGCCTGCGCGCTGAGGCTTCGCCACCCCGCGGCCCCCGAAAGCCGCGCGTAGCCGAGGTCCTGGCCCGTCGACCCCCTGGGGACCGCGTGCTCCCCGCCAGACAGGCTGGTGCTGTCAGCTCTTCAGATGAAGAAGAAATAACAACAGCAGCAGCAGCAGCAGCAACAACAACAACAGCAGCAAACAACAAACAACAAACAACAACAGCAGCAGCAACAACAACAATAAATAAAAGCACAGCCCTGCATACCGCGGCCGACAGCCCCCCCCCCCCCAAAAAAAATGAGCCTGGCGAAGGACCCAACCATGTGCAGTTGTGGTTGCCCGTTGTGGGTATCGCCTTCGGTTGATCTCCTTGTGGGGCCGCGAAGCACATGAAGGTTGTGCCGAAAGGCGTGACCGGGACGCCTACGGGCTGCGCCACTGGGGCCTTCGGTGGAGCTCCTTGTGTGGCCACGGAGCGCGTGGGGGTTTTCCCGATCTGGGCAGGGCTGCCTCTCGCAAACATGGACGCTGGGGCCTTCGGTGGTGCTCCCTATGGGGCCACGGAACGCGTGAGGGATGTGCCGACATTGGTGGGGTGGCCGCATGCGAGCATGGCCAGTGGGTCCTTTGGTAGCTCCCTGTGGGGTCACAAAACGTGTGAGGGGTATTCCGATCTGGCCGGGGAACGCATGCGGACTGCGCCACTGAATCACTCGGTGGAGCTCCGTGTGGGGCCACGAAACGCGTGAGGGATGTGCCGAAATTGGTGGGGTGGCCGCATGCGAGAATGGCAATTGGGGCCTTCGGTAGCTTCCTGTGGGGTCACGAAACATGTAAGGGGTGTTCCGAACTGCCCGGGGGAACGCATGCGGACTGCGCCACTGAGACATTCGGTGCAGTGCCGTGTGGGGCCACGAAACGCGTGAATGATGTACCGACTTTTGCGGGGCGGACGCATGCGGGCTGCGCCGTTGGGACATTCGGTGGAGCTTCATATGAAGCTACGAGTGTGAGGGGTGCACTGAAATGCATAGCTGGGGCTGGCTTATGCGGGCTGCTCCACGGCGACCTTCGGAGGAGCTCCTTGTGAGGCCACGAAACATGTGAGAGGTGTGCCAAAATGGGCGCGGCGGACGCATGCGGGCTGCGCCACTGGGGCCTTCGGTAGAACTCCCTCCCTCTGGGGCCACGAAACGTGTGAGGAGTGTGCGAAATTGGTGGGGCGCACGCATGCGGGCTGCTCCACTGGGACCTCCGGTGGAGCCCCCTGTGGGGCCACGAAACGTGTGAGGGGTGTGCCGACATGGGCGCGGTGGGCGCATGCGAACGCAGCCAGTAGGGTCTTCGGTGGAGCTTCCTATGGGGCCACGGAACGTGTACGCAGTGTGCCGAAATGGGTGCGGTGGGCCCATGCGAACGCAGCCACTGCGGCCTTCGGTGAAGCACCCTGCGGAGACACGGAACGTGTGAGGGGTGTACCGAAAGTTGTGCGGCTGGCGCGTGCGAACGCAGCCATTGGATTGGGGCCTTCGGTGGAGCTCCCTAGGTGGCCACGAAACGTGTGAGGGGTGTGCCGAGATTGTTGACATGTGTGGAGAGCAGAGGCAGGAATGGGAGGAGGCAGGAGGGGCAGGAGGAGGAGAGGAGAGGAGAGGAGATGCGAGGCACTGTCTCTTCAAAACGAAGACCCAACACCACAGGATGGTTGGGGAAAAAGCGGATGGCCTGTGAGAGTACTCCGAATTGCCAGCCCTTCATGCCGCGGTTGCCAGGCCAACATAATCCCTGATGGTGGTTCCTAAGTGTCACGCCTCGCCAGCTTTGCATGCCGCGGCCGCCAGGCCTCAAGACCGGATGTCCCTCAGTCTCCCGCCGAACCGAGCCCCACCAGGAAGGCTTCACGGTGCCATGTCGTCCAAACGTCGCGATCTCAGACAGTCACAGACAGCAAGAACAGACCTCACAAACAGGAGCCAACACTTGACATCCCTGACCCTAACTTACACAAAGTTCAAACACCATTTTGAAACATACACAAATGGCTGGCAACATGAGCATACACCAATAGCACACGTCAAGAACACACCAGCTTAAACCAAGCAAATACATCAATAACACGCATCAAGAAAAGCACAAAGAGCAGACAGGCAGAACATACATCAAGGACCCACGTTCGTCAAAACAATGAAGACCGCACACCGAGGCCACTGCTCATGCCAGGTATCAGTAGTTGACCCAGATATGTTAACAAGAACGTTCATCAAGATATTACATTCATAATTTGCACCACCACAAGACAAAAAGAACTAACACCAAGATTAACAAGGCGTCAAGCATACATCGGTAATATCGACCATAACAACATACCACAACCACACCCAGACCAGGCATCATGCACGGAGGTCCAGAACACGAGCACAACTATCAGGTATCGGTACCACATATAATTAGCAATAACGCCCAAAACGGACAGCAAACACAAGCACAAGTGACATACAGTCCAACCATACACCAAGATCAGACAACAAGCTCTAACGGCAAGAACACACAGCAATAGTAACCATCCGGAGCAGAGACCAAGAGCACGCACTGGAAATATACACAAGCATCACAACACCAGTAACAGGTAGCAAGTGCATATATCAAGATCGCACGTCAAGAACAAACACCACGTGCGGCAATAACGCACGTCAACAACATATGCAGAAACCATGAGCATGCATCAAGAGAGAATGCAACAATAGCACGCATGAAGAACGCACGCTCGTAACAGTCATCGGGAGCTCGCACTAATGATCATGGCATCCATCTGGAGTTCGTGTACATCATGGACATACTCACAAAGTTAGCACACATCTATGACATAAGGGGAAACCATAAAAGGAATGCTACACACATCGATCGAAGGTGCACAAATAAGCCATGAGCCGATACGTGCACGTATCCCACAGACAGAACATGCCAAACGACCATGCGTCAGCAGTGATACCTGACACCGCAGAGGCACACGCGAAAGACTTCGAAACCACTCGGAGCGTCAAGTAGTCATTCCTAGACTTGTTCCGTTTTCAGCCTGGGGCCAGAAAGGAGCCTCGGGAGGCCGGCATCGACGCGAAGTCGTTGGGACCTTGAGGACCACGACGTCGGAGGTCTGTGTCGGCGGCCCCGCGGGTGCTCTGCGACGGCGCTGGCGGCGGTCCTCGTGGCCACCCGCGCCGCGGTGGCCGCGGCCTTCAACGCCCAATTGTCCTGCAGTGGCGTCAGCGAGGGCGGCCAGTCGTGGGACGCGGCGCGAGCGCGCGCGGCGGCGGCGGTGTCGTCGCGGCGCCCGCGCGCGCCGCCGGCGCCTCCGCACGCGGGAGGGGCGAGCTCGTGCCCGATCGGGCACCTGACGTTGGCGTGGCTAAGGGCCCTGGACCAACCAGGGTGCCCAGTGGCGCGCGCGCGCCCCAACGGGTCCGCCGCCTCCTGCGTGCTGAACCGGATGCAGGGGCACGTGGCCGAGAGGGTGCACCTCGCCCAGGCGTTCTGGTCTTCGTGGCCCCTCTTCGGGGCAGCGGCGCGCCTCGCCGCCAGAAGGGCGCGTGCGGCGAGCACGCTCCCGCCGGGCGGCGAGGGGGCTGCGGAGCGCATCGCTTGGCGCAGGACCGCCTCGAGGCTGGCGCGGAGGGCACGCAGGCTGGCGGCCCTCGTGGCGCGGCGCCGCAGCGTCACCGCGGCGACGGCCAGCGCCGTGGCCGAACTGCTGCAGGGCGCCGAGTCCGTCGTCGAGTGGCGGTCGGCCGGCCCTGGCCACGGGCCAGCGGCGGCGCGCTTGTCGTGCCCCGACGCCGCCGACGTGCTGGCGGCGCTCGGCAGCTTGCAGCACGCCATTGCCCGCGCCAGCACGCTGCAGCGATGCAGCGCCACACCCGCGGACCGCGACGGGAGCTCCTGGCTCTGCCCCGCGTGCCTGGTGCGCGTCCAGGGCGAGTGGGCGCAGGAGGCACAGGTGGGAGGAGGGCCAGTCGGGACAATGGCGGCCCCCCCTGGCGTGTTTCTCCCTTGTTGGGCCTCCTGGAGGCTTCTCGTCGCCACGACTGGATCCGCCTGGAAACGCAGGCCACGACGGACCCCATTGAGGGGTCCAGGGGCCGAGTCTGACCGGACTTGGGCCGGCCTGGGGGCAAGGCCCCCAGCGCACAGGACGCGTTTCCCTCGGCACCCGCTCCACTGCACGCCGAGCAGGCCCTCGACACCGTGTGGAGCTTCGCCCACAAGAGCGCCTTCGTCGAGGAGGTCGGCGGCCTCAAGGCGGCGGTGGCGGCGGGCAGGAGGGCGCCCTCCTCCCTGGCCGCGGCCTTCGCGCTCTCGGCGCACCCGGGGCTCTCGTGGTCCGCCAAGCGGGAGGGGCTCTGCAGGATGCAGCGCGGCGGCCTGGCGCGCGCGCCGGCGCCGTCGGGAGCCCTCCAGGGCTCGAGGCGCGAGGCCGTGGCCACGGTGCTCTGGGCCGCGGGGGGCTCGGCACGCGAGCTGTGGATCTACGCGGAGGCGGCGCGCACCCTGGCGCACGCGGTCCGGCAGGCCGGAGGCGCACGGAGGCCGTTCCTCGCGCTGGCTCCGGAGGACCTGCCGCGAGAGGCCGAGGCATCCCAGAAAGGGCCTCTCGCCGTCGAGGGTCGAAGGAGGAGCTGTCGTCTGTCGTCCCTTCCTCGGCGGAGGGACGGCGGAAGGACGGCGGAGGCCGGGGGAAGCGAGAATCGGTCCCCGAGGAGGCGGCGACGGTTTGGGAGTCAGGGTTTCTGGGCCCCGCCAGGCGAGCGACGCCCAAAAGAGCGGGGTCGTCTGCGCCGGCATGGGCGCGGAAGCTGCCCGCTTCGTGAGCTCGCGCGTGAGCGCCCTCGTCTTCCGCGTGGCGTGCCGCGCTGGCGGCCCGCGCCAGCTGCTGCGTAAGGTCGCCGTGCCGTGTCGCGCGGGACCCTGCGCCCCCTGCTCCAGTCCGTGGCGTACCTTGTCCTGTGCAAGATCTTCGGCACCGCCTGCTTTCGGAGCCCTCCGGCCGCCTGAGGACCCGCCCGCCCGCGCCCTGTCTCCCCAATTAGGGCTACCCGCGTCCCGTTTAGCTCCTGACCTGAAGGGGCCCGCTCCCGACCCGCAGACCAAAACAATCGCGCAGGACCCTCTCCTCCCTCCCTCCCTCTCTCCCTCCCTCCCTCCTTCCTCCTCCCCCCTAAGGCCCAGAGAGAGAGGAGAAAGAGGAGGAGGAGGAGGAGGAGGAGGAGGAGGAGGAGGAGGAGGGAGGAGGAGGAGGGAGGAGGAGGAGGGAGGAGGAGGAGGGAGGAGGAGGAGGGAGGGAGGGAGGGAGGAGGAGGAGGGCGGCGCTCAGGTGGGGGCCTTCCTGCGGCGCGGCGGCCTCGTCCGCCCCCGCAGGGTGCGCGGCATGCGGGCTCGCCCGGGGTGCTGCCACGAGCGGCCCTGGCCCGAGGCCCGGGCGGCCTCCGGGGCATACGCAGGGCACGAGGCACCAAAAGAGCCCCAAGGCACGTCGAGGATCCTCAAACCCAGACCCCCTCGAGTTACGAAAAAATCACGACGGGAGGTTTTTTATTGCTTTTGGTCTTTGGGGGCCCTTACCGGCCCTCGGGACCGTCAAAAAACTACTCGGGACGAAAAATTGGTCCCAGGGAATGGGTCCAGACCGCTGGGGGTCGACGTCATGAAAAATTCATGACGTCGGGGGTCTGGGAAACGCGTGCTAGCCCAATGTTCAGGAGGGGAAAACACACACACACACACACACACACACACACACACACAGGCGCAATAATGTGTCGATCCCCAGAAGATATGCGAACATATGGGAATGGGGGGGGGAAGACAGAAGCCCAGAAAATATGGGAAAATAGTGGGAATATGTTTTTTTTGTGTATTGATTTGTGTGTCCTGGGGCCCCTTCAAATGTGCGTTCGTCCCGCACAGCTCTGCCGATGGTGCGCCGCCCGCTTCTCGGCCCTCAGGGTGCCTCCTGCGTCGTGTGGAGGGGCCTCGGTGGACAAGCACGCGTTAGCGTCAACACGCGTTCCGAGGAGCATCGGATGTGTCGCGAGAGGCTGGGCGGACTGGTGGGCCAGGGCCACTGCTGGCAGCACCCGGCCCTCAGCGGCCCCAGCTTCGTCCTCCCGGGCGGTGTGGGCCCGGTCTACGACTGGCCGAAGATGCTCCTGTGGGGCTTGACGGAGTTCGACGCCATAGTCTACCTCGACCTCGACACCATGCCGTGGCGCAGGGGCGCCCTGGAGGGGCTCTTCGCTCCCGTGGCCTCCGCCCCCTTCGCACCCTTCGCCGCCGTCGGGTTCGGGCCCCGCTCCGAGCTCAACAACGGGGTCTTCGCGCTGAGGCCGTCCCGCAGCACCCTCGCCTGCCTGCTGGCGCACGCCCGCGCGGGCACCTTCTGGAGGGGGCCCCTCGCGAACGCCTTCGCGGCCCGTGGCGGCACCTGGCAGGCGTTCCTCGACCTCTTCTGGCGGCGCGGCGCCGGGCTGCCGCTGGGCAACCAGACGCGCCTGCGAGCGGCCTGCGCCGCGCGCTTGGCGGAGGGGCCGCCCGCGGTGCTGCCGCGCGTCTTCAACTTCCCGGCCTCGTACTCGGCGGCGGCCGCTGGCGCGCCGCGGGTGGGCGTCGTGGCGGAGGCGTGGGCCCGAGACCTGCGCCTCGGCCCGCTGCGCATGTCGGGCCGGACGAAAGGGTGGGGATAGGAAAAGGCGGGGGGCGCGAAGTCTGCTACATGCAGCTGGCTTCGGCCCCGCCGCCGGGCCCGTTCTTCGGTGCATGGGCGCCTCCCGGCGCCGGGAGGCGCGGGGAAGGTCGGCTACGTACGTGAGCCGATTCTCTACCCGACCCTTTGCTATCGCCCCCCTTTCGTTCCCCCCGAGCATCGTCCACTGGGTCGGAGGCCTGCGGAAGCCGTGGATGCACTGGTCGCCCCTGGCGCGCTCGGTCTTCGACCGCCGCTGGTGGCGGGCGCACGGGGAGATGTGCGCCAGTGCGCGGGTGCGGTGCCGGTTTCGCTGTGTGCTGTCGGGCAGCAAAATAGATCTGTCCCACGCCGCTCGTGCCCAGTTTCGGTCCGAGAGCGCCTCGCCTTCTCGCCCACCTCCCCTTGCTGGTGACAGTCATGCGTTCAAGTGTGTCGCAAGCCGAGGTGTGGCTCGGAGCTGGCAAAGCTGTGGCAGTTCTGCAGATCTGCGTGTGCCTGCCCCCCTGTGCTTATCACAAGCATGTCAGCAGATGTGCCAGCCGCAGGCCGCTTTGGGACATGGGGTCCGCAGCATGGCCACTTAGGCTCAGGTCGCGAGCGCGGCCCAGGACGCCTCTGCGGCGCCCTGCGCCGTGAAGCCGGGGGGGGCCCCGTCGAGGCGAGGCACCACAGTCTGATCAGCACGACCGACCGTCTGCGGCCCAGTGGACCGTCCACGACCCCGCGAGTTTGCCGATCTTGGGCTGCCGGTGCATCACCCCCAGACCCCCTCGCGTCATGAAAAAATCATGACGGCAGGTTTTTCATTGTTTTCGGCCCTTGGGGGGCCCTTGCCGGCCCTCGGGACCGTGAAAAAACGACTCAGGAACAAAAACCGGTCCCCCGGGGAATGGGTCGAGACCTCTGGGGGGTCGACGTCATGAAAAATTCATGACGTCGGGGGTCTGGGCCCCGGGCCGACCCGCAGGTTTGACCGTATTCACGGGGCACCCCACGGCTGTGAGTCGCTGACGTCCGCGGATGCGCACACGGACCGGCCTGCCTCGAGGGCCAGATCTGTCCAGGGGGCCGCGCGTCCGTGGCGCAGGCGGTGGCGGCCTCACAGCCTTCGACCAATGGGGGACCGCTGCTAGATGCACAGCCTCAACCCAGTTCTGGTGCAGAGCAGCATCCCAGCGCTGCCTCTCGGCCACGATCTGGGCTGTCCCGCTGTCCCGCATGCGTGTCGGCGGACGGCTACCAGACGTGAGCCATCATCACGCCACCGCCCTTCGCCTACGAGCCGAACTGCTCCGCAGACGCTGGCTACCTCGAGGAAGCCCCCCCTGCCGGCGAGGCAGCACATTCGTGTTGGATTGCTGCCAGAGGCCGAGCTCTTGCACGGGGCGGCAGGTGGTCTACCACCCCAAAGTGCCCGCGAGCGTTCCCGCCGCTCGCCCCCAGACCAGACTGCAGGGGCCTCTATGCACAGCGAGGTGCTGTGCTTCATCGAGGCGTCGCATCTCGCATACGCTCCGTGCCGATCCGCCCGAGGGGACCATCCCAAGAGCTGCCCCTGCTGGTGTGGCAACCCCTCCAAGCTGGGCCCGCACCAGGGTCCGA